GGTAGAATTTTTTTTGAAAGAAACTTGCATATCTTCAGGCTGACTGAGACTCTTACAGTCTCCACCTCCCTTACCCTGAAATAACCAGAAGGAGCTATTTGTACTTCCCCAAATACGAGTTTTTTAGACTTCCAAGTTTACTAGACTTTCCGTGAAGACATTCTAAAGTGAAAGAAGAAGCAGGTATGAGAGGGGAAATAACAGTATTATGTTGAAAGGAACCTGCATGTTGTTGGGTGGGCAAAATGAGCCATGCCTCTTTGTTAACCTTTCTATGTCCCATACCAGAGGTTTCCCCAGTTCTTAATAATGAGAGCTGACATTTATAAAGCATTCATTATATGCTAGAAGCTGTTTTAGGTACTTGGCACATATTATTTTATAACAGCTATTAATATCCCCACCTTGCAGATGCAATTACAAAGAAGTTACATGACTTGCTTGGGATTGTACAATGGTTTCTTCTGAGCAACTCAATATCAAAACAAAGACCTAGGTTCAGGATGTGAATGAGTAGGCAATCATGAGAGAATTTGCACACAAACACCCTTTGATTCCAAGAGCTTTCACTCACTATTTCCTTCAAGAAGCCAAGTAAGAACAGGAAGCAAAAGGAGATCATGGGTGGAAGGTGTGCGTGATCACCTGTTTGAGGACTGACAAATGCCTCTCATGGCCTCAGCTGTCACTCATCTCTAGCCAGAAGTTTGGATGGTCTCTGCTGGCAGATTTTTGCCCTAATCTTTACCAGGGTAGGGGTCACCTCATGATCAGTGTATGATACTTGCAACCCCTCGTTGGCTACACCTAAGTCATACATCATTATATATGTATTGTTGACTAATTATACCATTTCTTACAAATGCATTCAAGAGCTTTTTGGAACTTTTCTAAACGTGTTTATGAATTTGGGGAATAGAGTGTATTTTTTTTTTTTTTTGGAGTGAGGTGGGCAGATATTAGTCCTTAAAGGGATATACATGTATGGATTTAATTAATTTTGGGAAAAATGCTCATAAGGAAAAAAATTTAATGTGAAAACTTGTTTACCATTTTTAAAGCAAAGCAAATAGGATTTTATTCATCCTGTTAAAATGCTTCATGTGGAGTCCTTAAATCATACACAGAACAACAAAGCTAAGAATTATATCCAAGCAATTGGCAAGCAGAATCCACATTCTTTTTCTTTTATTAATATTTTTATTTGTTGATGGACTTTTATTGTATTCATTTATTTATATGTAGTGCTGAGAATTGAACCCAGTGCCTCACACATGAGGCAAGCGGTCTACCACTGAGCTATAACCCAAGCCCTAGAATCCACATTCTTCTTTTTTTACTTTTGTGGTGCTGGAGATTGAACCCATGGCCTTGTGCATGCAAGGCAAACACTCTACCAACTGAGCGTTAACCCCAGCCCTAGAATCCACCTTTTCACCACTATTTTATACTGCCTCTCTGCTGGGAACTAATACTTCACATTGAACTGACTACTCCCAAGTGTAAAGACCATACCTAGAAAGAAAAAAAAATTAAGTTATAAGAGGGAAGTTTACAGATATCTTGGGAGCTTTGTGTAGAGGTCCCTGGTATGTAGAGATATCTCATAAAGTGACTAAAATCTTCAATGAGGGTTGCTAAGAAACTTACATAGGGGATCTTTGAATTACAATACTTTCCTCTCTGGTGAGAAGTTATTTTTTCTTTTACCAAAATTTCCTCTGATACAATGTAGTTAGTGTGATTAGTTGTTGACCTTGTTGCCCACCTGCGGGAAAGATTACAAGGAAAGATTCATGTGGGTTTTTGGATGGAACTTCAGCAAAAAGCAGTTAACACTTTCACACAGAAATCTGGGCCCTTGGCATCATGGGCATTTAAGACATAAGAATAATTTATTATCTTCCTCTGACCAAGACATGGTCTTGATGAAAATGTAGTTCTGGCTTGTGCTTGTGGATTTGCAGAGGAGGCATTGCATAAGGCATCAAAGAAAAACTGGATTTTACATGTGAAATACTACCAGTAAACTTGGATCTGAGGCAGATCTATGGGATACATACAAATGGAATAACCACACCAAGTCTAACTGCAATATGGAAAATGTGCAAGTTTATGATTGTGTAACTTTCAAGGCGTGTCCTCATGACTCCTTGGAGAAAAACAGCAAACATACCTTCAGAACATAGTCCAGAAGGTAAGTGCCCTTTGAGTTGGTGTTTTTTTCTACATCAAAAATATGACCTAGAAGAGTGCTATATGCTCACATTTTAAAATATCTGATAAGATGCTACTTTATTGGGTTCTTCAACAATTCTTAGAGATGTCAGAGATTATAAAGAATTCTGAATTATCAAAATGAGGAAACAAGTTTAATCTTTGTTTGCTCAAGATTCATGTTACAAGAGAAATGGTGGATATTTACTCCCAATCCCTATCTTCGGAAATCCCTATCTTTGGGAGAAAAAAATTATCAATAGTCATTGATAATGTATATTAACAGTTTATGTACAGCACTTAAGAGAACAGAAATAACATTTGAGGAGTGCTTACAAAATACCTAGGTCTTTTAATCCTCATGACATCAGTGCTCCAATGAAATCAGGAGTTTAGACTGACAGAGCTGAAGTTTATCTACCAAGATTAGCCAACTAGTAAATGTCAGAGATGTGATTCATGCTCCAGTTGTTTGACTCCAGGCTTTGTTCTTTTCACTGTGATACAATGCATCCCTTTTGGAATTGTGTTTAACCACAGATAAGGTAATGATATTTACCCTTTTGTGTGTAGAGCTCACCATTAGTCCATATAAACCTATAAACCTTATAAATACTTAATGTTAAGTACTTTTACTACTCTCCACTGAGGATGAAAAAAGCAATTTCCAATTGATCGAATGCATTTTCAGACATGGTTTACTGGTAGAATAGTTTCAGGCAATTCTGTCTTTTTATTCTATTCAGCAGAGATTTTCTTATTTATTTTGTACTAATGAACAGACACAATAGATGTGTTCTGAATTAGCTTGTACATTACTTCTCTTTCTGATACATGAGCAACTAGCCATCAGGGGACCAGATGAGATATCCCTATGCTTTCCATTCAGGAAGGTCATACATGAGGGGGCAAAAGATGTGCTATGGATATCTCACATATCATGTTGATTCACCTCCCACTCCTCAATGCAATCTAGTGCTCTGCATTAAGAAGTTAAGATTCAAGAGAATGACATCAATTTGGCATTTTACTCTGAAGTTATCAGGAGCAGTTTCCAGATTCTGATGAAAAAGAAGGAATTATTCCTTTGGTTCTGATCATGATTGTTGCAGTTAGTAGACCCTCATCTTTTGCTGTATACACCTTTTGAAAAACCATTGTAATATTCATTGAAAGAAGAAATCCAGAACCTTGGGAAACTATGGATCCTATTATATCTCAGGGTTTATAATAATAAACCAACAATGGGAGGTAGGTCTGAAGGGGGATGAAATGACCGATATTTGCTTCCTTCTTTCAAGAATGAATCTATGAATCTAAGGGAAACAACTATGAATGAATCTATGAATCTAAGCACAACCTAGATTATGGATACCATTGTGTGGTCATGCTTCTATATGTCTGGGGTTTGTCTGCATTCTAAGAAATTAAAATTAGTGCAGTAATAACCACATATCCTAAAATAAGTTGTTTATTGTTATAAATTTGATTTTTACACATTGATTTGTTTATGATGCCTAAATGTTTTTCTGAAAAGGTATAAAGACTTATAAATTTGGTTGTCTTATGTATTAAAATATCATTTATGAAGGAAAAAATAAAAAGAAGATTCAAAACTAGGAGAATTGTGTTGTGGCCTGATTTCAGTTGCACTGTAGATTTTTCTTATCCAGCCATACTTTTTGTCAAGTATCTAATGTAAACAAATGGCACGAATTTATAAGAAAAAAGGATAATGTTAGAATTATACTGTAACTCCAGATTTGATGAAAATTAAATGCCACTTATATTATGTTTCTGATCCTATTGCATTTAGTTGATAGCACTAAATAAACTCAACTTTTTACTGAAATGAGAATATTAACATCACACTAATTACAGTGAATAAATGCCTACTTCACTATTGGACAGAAGGTGTGAAATGAGATCTCACTGAGATTATCCCATTCATGGATAAAATCATGCTAGATTGCCCAGGATGGCCTGGAACTTGCTTCTCCTTCCTCAGCCTACTGAGTAAACTGAGACTCCAGGCTTGTTGTCACACCACCCCCAACCCCACATGCTGGTGTGTGTGTGTGTGTGTGTGTGTGTGTGTGTGTGTGTGTACTGAGGATTAAATATGAGGTGCTATCAGTGTTACATTCCAGACTTTTTAAAGTTTTTTTACTTTGATACAGAATCTCACAAATTACACAGGCTGACCTTGAACCTTCGATCTTCCTACTGCAGCCAATCTAGTAGCTGTGACTACAGGCGTGTGCCACTGCACCTGTATGGCACATTCCTTTTGCTGACAAAACAAGCATTTTAAAGGGAGAGGAAAAAAAAATTAGTTGAAAATAGCATCTGAAAGGTGCGTGATAGCAGTCAGATTTTTATCTGAATTTGGGAGGGGAGAGGGACGTGGAATGAGAGGAATGATTTACAATCCTGGTAATCCAGACACTTTTGAATTGGGGGTTTAACAAAATATATACATAGAATGAGAAAATTTGTATGACAGGAACAAGAGATCAAAGGAGATAGCTGGAAAAAAATAGGTTAAATTTTTAAAAATTTCCAATGAGTTAATTATAATTGAGTATTTGGGAACCAATCGAAGCAAGAAACGAAGGTAGGCTGAAAGTGGGAAACGCAGGAAGTTTCTTTTGCACTTTGGCAGATGTTGGTTCCAGCATTCAAATCTCTTCAGCCGGCCCGCCAGGGCGTCACAAAGCCCGCCCCTCAGCCACAGAGCCACGCCCCCTTCGTTGGTTGTTCCCTGAGCTTCCAATACTTCCCTCCTTCTCTTTGACTCCGCCCACAGAGTCTAGAATCATTTCCTGTGTGCCGGATGCTGATTGGCCCAGAAGTCGGAAGTGAGGGCGGGTGGTGGGGCCGTTGCCGCAGTGACAGTGCTGGGGGAGTCCGAAGATGGCGGCGTCGCGTCGCTCTCAGCATCATCACCACCATCATCAACAACAGCTCCAGCCCGCCCCAGGGGCTTCGGCGCCGCCGCCGCCACCTCCCCCACCTCTCAGTCCCGGCCTGGCTCCGGGGACCACCCCAGCCTCCCCCACAGCCGGTGGTCTGGCCCCCTTCGCCTCCCCGCGGCACGGCCTAGCACTGCCGGAGGGGGATGGCAGTCGGGATCCGCCCGACAGGCCCAGATCCCCGGACCCGGTTGAGAGTACCAGCTGTTGCAATACCACCAGCACAATTTGTACCGTCGCCGCAACTACCGTGGTCCCGGCGGCTTCTGCATCATCTGCCGTCGGGGTCGCTCCCAACCCAGCCGGCGGTGGCAGTAACAATTCTCCGTCGTCCTCTTCTTCCCCGACGTCTTCCTCATCTTCCTCTCCATCCTCCCCTGGATCAAGCTTGGCTGAGAGCCCCGACGCGTCCGGAGTTAGTTCCACTGCAGCTTTGGGGCCTGGGGCAGCGGCAGCTGGGACAGGGGTCCCAGCAGTGAGCGGGGCCCTACGGGAACTACTGGAGGCCTGTCGCAATGGGGACGTGTCCCGGGTAAAGAGGCTGGTGGACGCGGCAAACGTAAATGCAAAGGACATGGCCGGCCGGAAGTCTTCTCCCCTGCACTTCGCTGCAGGTCAGACACTTTTGAATTGTTTATTACAGGTTTGGACTTGAGGGGTCGGTGGTCCGATTAGAGAAAGAAAACAGGTTATTAAGTTGAAACAAGATGTGGGCGTGGTTATGGTTCTTTAATACCTTACCAGAAGACTAGAGTTTCCTTTCTTTAGGTTGAGTCTGGGGGACGGCGGCGTGGAAATGGGATGTGTGAATCCATTCTTTAGTGTTTGCATAGTGATGATACTTGTACTTATTCCAAAACTCCTGTAGCGTAATCTCTGGATATGCATATTCTTAAACATTTTCAGTTCTGAGAATGTAGGATAAAGTTAGATTTGGCTTTAGAGCGTGTGCTAGTTTATTGTGTTTTTACAACAGGGTTATGTTCCTCGAGGAGAGTCGATACCAGAAGTTTGATGTAACTCAACAAGTGTTTAAGGATGTATCATAGTCTTAGTAACCTTCAGTGGAGCTTCTGGAACCTTTAAACTCTTAAACCTTTTAAGAAGTTTACAGTTCAGTTAGGAAGACCAAAATACGTCAGTATGAAACAACTGGGAGAATAATATTTGACTGCATTACGTCAATTTAGAAGAAATACAGGCTTTGAACTTGTGGATACCGCTGTTAGTCGTGTAAAAGACTCAGTTGCCTCAGTTTACTCATGGGCAGAAATGATATAGTAAGATTGGATAAGTAAAATAAGAAAAATCTGCAAACTCCTAACTCTGGACCTCACACTTTTTTTTTTTAAACCATTGCTTATTTATTTATTTTTAGCAAGTAGTTGACTATTTTCTTTTCGAAACACTTTATTATTTTTGTTAAACAGAGAAATGTAAGACAAAACAGGATAACAGATAACAGTCTCACTGCTCAGATACTTTCTATTGATATTTTCAAAAATAAAGGTAATAAAGTTATATGCATTAGAAACATTACATTAGAAGTACTTTATATATCTTATAAAATTCAAGTAGGACAGAAAGATACAAGGTAGGCACTCCTACCCACCCACACACTTCAAAGTAACACCAAAGGTACCCTCTAATAAGTTTCTTTCTACATTTGTAATGTATGTCACATCACTCCTTCATTTGGATGTTAATAGTAAAACTATGTTTGGAATTTGTATTTATTTTAATTGCAGCTCAGTAGATATTATCCTAATTTTACAGATGATACAAGTGAGGCACAGATTGTTTAAATAAAGTCCTGATTCATTCAAGAAGTAGTGAAATTTTCATTCAAGCAGTTTGATTTTAGAGCTTGTGATATCAAGCTTACACTATCATAACCTATTCCTGGGTAACATTTCATTTTGGTGAGTAATTGCAGTGCAGACTTTCTGATTTTTGCAGTGTTTTGAGGGAAAAGTAATTGGGGGTTTATAGACAAGGATAGATTTCATATATATATATATATATATATATTTTATTGTAGCCATACTTAGAAATACATTTTACATAGTCACACTCCAACAAAATGGAATAAAAATCTCAGGACACTATACTTTTCCATACACAAGTGTGGTACTTGGATATTTTTATCATAACTCATCTCATTTTAAGCCAAAGATCCATTTAGGATCTTGACCAGTGAGTGGTATGAGAAACACAGAAAATCATTTTTAGGTCAGTGCATCCATTCTTAATATACAGACATTACTGTTAGGAATATAGTGAATTAAGTCATAAATAGGCTTTCATCTAACTAGATGTTCACTCAGGGTCTTACATATTTTAGATAGCATTTCTTTTCTTTAAGCTGATTGAAAGATCTAAGTTTGATTTTATAAATCAGCCAAGATTGTTTACTTTTGCAACTTATTCTAAATCTATTTTAAAATAGTGTTTCACAAGTCTTGTCATTTTTTACAATAACTCTTTATAAGTAATCACTAACAAATTATAATTAGTTATATTTATTTATGTATTAATTTACTCATCAAGTGTCTTCCAAATCACACCTCATCTATTTGCCGCAAGTTATTTTTAATTCTGCTTTTGAGGTTTATATATTCCTAGGTAATCTAGAATACAAACAATAAAACAGCTTTGTAATTAAGTAATAGTTTAACCTAGAATTGAGTTTTTAGAAAAAAAAGGTTATAGTTCAGTTGTGGATAACAGAAAATAATAACAATAAAATTCATGATATATTCGTGATATAAAAATATAACATCCTTGAGTCAATTTCCTTTACTTCTCTGTTTCTAGGATAACATTAAAGCTTTTTTCAATGTAGTTTCCCTCAGGTATAGGTCAAGTAGTTAAAAGTAATTTTTTGTTAACTATTAGTTGGTTATTATGGTAGTTGATGAATATGGTAGTCAATGAAATAAATATTTTAAAGATAGGAAGTTGGTAAAGTCCCTTGGGTGGAAAAGTTGTAGTTCATTTGTTTCATAAATATTTTATTACTTATCGGTCAGGTATTAAATACTGGCACAATTTTGGAGTAGCAGATAGTCCTTACTCTTATGGAGCTTCCAGTGTACTGGGAAAGTCTAAAGAAAAACAATTAACAAAACTATGAAGTGTGTTACCTAGAGTGATAGGAAAAGAACAGAATGCTCTCTTTTGGAGTGTGTGATAGGGCTGTTATTCTGGGTTTGGAACAGTTAAGAAGTCTTTCTAGATAAGGAGTTTTTTTTTTCTTTTTTAAAGGAATTCAAAGGTTAAGCCCAAGCTAGCCAAGCAAATGATGGAAGGAATAATAAACAATGCCTTTATTTCTATTTAAAAATGAATTTACAGTTCTGTAGCATGAAATGAAACCATTTAACAACCTCAGGCACAGTATTAAGCCATATATAAATAGTACTTATGATTTCACTTATATTGCTATAAGAATACTAATCATATTCTTACATTCTTTCTAGCAATAGAATTAATAATAGACTTGTCCTGGCCACAATTAGAACGTAATCTTCATTTTTCCTTGTTGATATCAGTTCTCAAAATACTGTTTCAAATGACTTTCAGAATGCTATTTCTAATCTTCCTAATGATCTTTTTTTTAACTGTTAACTAAAGTTAACTTTTCTATAGATAAGGTCTTCGACGCTGACATTCTGTTGTCAGCACTACAACACTAAAAGATCTTCATAAATAGGACCAATTTATAGCAATATCATCTTAATTCAGTTCCTAATAGTAACATTTTTGTGAAGGGACCAGTATAATTCTGACAAGATCTATTTTTGTAGAAAAGTTGAGGTTTTGTTTTATTCTTTAAGATTTTAACAAAGCATTGGATTCTAAAGACATTTTGAAGTAAGGTTTCTGCTTCAGTCCTGGAGTGGGAATCTTTTTGTACTTTTAATTGTACCAGTTGTCCTTGGTTGTACTTCCAAGTAAATGTCTTGCCTCATGGTTTAAGAAGGGTCTACTTTGGTACTAAAAGGAATTAGTTTCATAAACTAAGAAATATCTTCTTAGACTTCAAATTGTTGTTTACAAACTAGATTATCTTTTACTTAGTGTTATCTTAAAACCTTAATATTTCCTTAAGATATCTCTTTTTATAGGAGACTAAGGCAGGAGGATCACAAGCTCAACTCCAGCCTCGCTTGGTAACTTCCTGAGGCCCTGAGCCATTTAAAGAGATCCTGTCTCAAAATTAAAAATTAAAAAATGGCCTGGGGATGTGACTGGCCTGGGGATGTGACTCTGTGGTTTAGGGCCCCTGGGTTCAATCCCTGGTATAAAAAAAAAAAAATAAGACAAACAAACAAAACCCCCACCTTTAAAAAAAAAGTTCCCATAGAACTTCTAGTTAGAAAGAGCAAATGTTTCTTTTGTCTTAAAATCACTGTTTAGAAGCAAATTGTCCAAAGAATAATGAATAGACTTTTAAACAATAGAGGAATGCTTACATAAATTGTAATACTGCGTAATTTCTGTTAATATTATCTGCTTCAAAGTTCCTCTAGCATATTTTTTTAATGCATGTCAATTATATAGATTATATTATATAATTATATAACTAGATTATATAGCCCATATACACCTAGGCCATATGGTATAGTGTATTGCTCCTCTGCTACAAACCTGTAGAGCATGTTAATGTACTGATTACATTATGTAAACAGTTATGATACAATGGTAGGTATTTGTGTATTTAAACAGAAAAAGAGTAGTAAAAATACCATATAAAAGATTTTAAACAATTGGTATACCTGTGTAGGGCATGTATACGTGAATGGAGGTTGTAGGACTGGAAGTTACTCTGAGTGAGTTGTGAGTGAACAGTGAGTGAATGTGAAGGCCTAGAAATTATTGTATGCTACTGTAGATTGTATAAACATGTACACTTAGGACTACATTAAATTTACCAAAAATATTTTCTAATGGTGAGTTGACCTTAGTTTATTTTTTTATTTCATAAATTTTAAATTTTTAAAACTTCTGATTCTTTTGTAATAACACTTAGCTTAAAACATAAACACTTTGTACAAGTGTTCAAAAATATTTTCATTCTTTACATTCTCACTCTATAAGCTTTTTTCTATTTTAGAACTTATATTTCTGTTATTTTTTAATTTTATTTTTTTACTTTTGAAACTTTTTTTGTTAAAAAATCAAGACACAAACATATACATTAATTAGCCTAGCCTACACTGGGTCAGAATCATCACTGTCACCCACCTCCATATTTTGACCCACTGGAAGGTCCTCAGGAGTGTAACACACATGGAGCTGTCATCCTCTATGATAACAATGTTTTCTTCTGGAATGCCTCCCGAAGGACCTGCCTGAGGCAGTTTTACGGTTGATTTCTTTTTAATAAGTAGGAGTACACTCTAAAATAATAATAAAAAGCATAATATTGTAAATACATAAACCAATAATAGTCTTTTATTATCATTATCAAGTATTATGTACTGTACATAATTGTATGTGCTCCAGTTTTATATGATTTTGCTGTAGGTTTGTACCATCACCACAAACATTGGAGTAACGTGTTACACTAAACATTACAATGGCTGTGAGGTCACTAGATGACGGAATT